TCAAACGGAATGTCAATGTTGTGATGGCCTACCGCGGGGTGTTATTTCAGCAGAAGACGTTTAAAAAGAAGAAGAAATGTTGACACACGCGTCATAACCTATCAGCTCCCTCATGCAATCTCAGCCTCTTCAATGAGTGATAGTAAATCAAACAAAACTCTTAAAACTTCCAAGTGAAAAATGCAACACCTTTCGATCTTTGTTTTGTTAATATTCAGTATCACATTGACGTCTGAGGAAAATAAAATAAGGTTTAACTCTGTAGCCGAGATGACAATATGCAAATACAATATGTGAGTGATAGTAAATCGAACAGAACTCTGGAAACTTCAAAGTGAAAAATGCAACTCCTTTCGATCTTTGTTAATATTCAGTATCACATTGACGTCTGAGGAAAAGAAAATAAGGTTTAACTCTGTAGCCGAGGTGACAATATGCAAATGTAATATGCAAATGAATACGAGAACTGCACAAAATATCCTTTCTTCAATTTAACCATCACCAATAACAAAGGAAATAGAAACCACTACTTTACATATGTTGCACGCCTTCAAGAATCCATTAATCCTGATAAATCACGACTGTATGAAAGCTTGCCTTTTCAATAATAAAAATAGTTTCTTTGCAAATCTCGTTTCTCTCCGTTGATTATGTATATTTAATTGCATATATATCCTTAAACTTTTCGAATATTTAATACATACAGGTCAATAATTTAGAAGGCATTATACTATTTACAAATTTTGAGTGGGAATCTACCATAACTACCATATTCAAAACATTCTTTAGAATCTTTTCGTTCCGAATTATCTATAGCCGATGTTTTTGACACTTTTTTTTGCGTCATAACAAAGGAACCATTTAAAAAACAAAACAACAAAAAAGCACAAAGAAACACGATTAATAATCCACACAATATTTGCACCAATACAAGAATATGAAAAATAACTATGATGCAAATTGTATGAAAGCATTGCGAGAATCAAATTTTTTCAGAGCAATTTATCTTTTATGAAAGAAGAGAACATGTTTGGAAATGGAAAAAAAAATAGACCAAAAAAATCCCAGAATACATACAATGCAAACACATAAACAAAAAATCAAAGAAAAAAATATTAAAATGCAAATATAGTCTTAGTACTATGCAAATCAAATTGTCATGGCGTTTCTTTATAAAAGCATTCAAAACATGCTTTGCAGAGTTACAAAAGATATATATAACTCAAAACCCAAAAGAAAAGAAAAAAAGATCATAATATGCAAATATTCTAAACGCAATGGGGCAAATCAGAATTTCACAGCGATTTCTTTCTAAACGCGTTTTAGAAACATGTTTAGCAATAAACGGAGCCTATCTAAGCAATTTCCAACGCCCAAGATTTCTATGGCTAATCGAGCAAGCAAGCCGGTTTAAGGTTTCTCAAGAGGGTGGAGTGGCGGTGAGGAACAGGTTCCAGGGCCTCTGATGTGTCATGGGCACTCCAGCTGGATGGAGTAGTCCCTTATTGACATCTCTCGCCATGCCATCTACACCGCATTGTTATGGTAGCATCCCGCTCTAGATTTGTATAGTCTCATCTCTATTATTGTAGAATTGACCGGGTTGTTTGAAGTATTCGAAGAGTTGAGAGATATATCTGTAATTTAATATATATGATAAACAAAGAGAGAGAAACGAGATTTGCAAAGAAATTATTTTTATTATTGAAAAGTCAAGCTTTCATACAGTCGTGCTTTATCAGGATTAATGGATTCATGAAGGCGTGTAACATATGCAAAGTAGTAATTAATGATATTTTTAAAAGTATAACTGCAGTAGGTTGGAAATAATTTCTAATCAACATTGAGCATGTTGGAATTGCTGAAATAGACTTCTGTTTATACTGATATTGTCTTCGGAGAATTAGATTCAAGAATTTGACCCTATGTTATGGAAATGGCAACACATGTAATATATTGTGATCTGGTGATCTGTTGCATTTTCGTGCTGAAATATTAAACTGATATTAGCATTGTGGATATCCACTCATGGACAAAACTTAAGGAAGTTGTACCTTTTAGTATGTATATCGGGATTCAGACAATAACTCGGAAAGATATTACAGTGACCTTTATTGAAGACACACGATATAACCAAGTGTATATACACTCCTGGACAAAACTTAAGGAAGTTGTACCTTTTAGCATGTATATCTGGATTCTGACAATAACTCTGAAAGATATTACAGTAACCTTTATTGAAGACACACGAGATAACCAAGTGTATATACACTCATGGACAAAACTTAAGGAAGTTGTAACTTTTAGCATGTATATCTGGATTCAGACAATAACTCTGAAAGATATTACAGTAACCTTTATTGAAGACGCACGAGATAACCAAGTGTATATACACTCATGGACAAAACTTAAGGAAGTTGTACCTTTTAGCATGTATATCGGGATTCTGACAATAACTCTGAAAGATATTACAGTAACCTTTATTGAAGACGCACGAGATAACCAAGTGTATATACACTCATGGACAAAACTTAAGGAAGTTGTACCTTTTAGCATGTATATCGGGATTCTGACAATAACTCTGAAAGATATTACAGTGTCATTTATTGAAGACACACGAGATAACCAAGTATGAACAAAATTGACTCTGTCTGGCGACATCAAAGACTTTCCAATTTTTAAAGTTTTGTATATATTACCAACACATAAATACAATTTTCAAGAATTTATTTAATGTATTTACCCCTTTTGCTTATGTAAATAATTCTTTAGTTTCTTGTTTTATATATATTTTTAGATATCGTTTTGAAAATAGAGCAATCCATAAATAAATCTTTAATTAAAAAGGCATATATTGGATCAAAATATCATTTATTTAACCAATATTTCAGTTGGGGCTGAACTCCAACCTTTATCAAGGTGTTATATTGACGTTATGTGGCGCTGAGTTTGTTGTTGACACACATTAAATATGTTATAATACCTTGATAAAGGTTGGCGTTCAGCCAACTGAAATATTGTTAAAAAAATAAATGATATTTTGATCCAATATATGGTCACTAGGTGGACGCTTTTCAGTTTGCCAAAGCTGGTGTTGTGGCTTTGTCACCGACCTGAGGTCGCTAGTTTGCGGTGACGGTCAATAGATGGCGTCTAGTTTGACGTCTATTTTGACGGGAGAGGCGACCTTTGTTTCTTTATATATATATATATATATATTCCGAAAACGACACTTATGCAACCATCATTTAAGGAGAGTTAGGTAAGAAATATCACAAGTAACGATAAATAGGTTAATAAATCCAAAGAACACTTTATACCCACATAAACACACCTCAACAACAGATCTTGTATAAAAAATAAACCCGACTGATGGCCAGTTTTCACTTTTAATAAATGCCTGCAATTGCACAGAATAAAAAGTTTATAATACAATATAATGCGACTTATGATTGTAGAACGACATGTTTGACAAGTTTTACCGCAAATGTTTCTTTTGAACGAAAAATCGTAATTTATTTTAAGGAGAAAAAGTTTGTGTTTTTAACACGCGGGTTTATAAGATTAGAGAGGGTATAATAGATTATATATATTTGTATGTCGGTATTATAATTAAAACATAATATTATATGTTCCTTCAGATCAACACTTATTGACCTTATATATTCATTTATTTCTCGGGGAACCTTTTTGACAAATTTTTGGTCGTTGAGGTACAGCTTGCACAACGCTGTCGAGGGCCAACAGCCCGAAACGCGTACGTGGTTAGATTTTTCTTGATTTATAAAGAAAATTGGTTGATTCACAATATTATGGAACAAAAAAATGAACGTTAATGTTGATTTTATTCCGCTAGATGGCGCTCTGTTATCTAAAAGGTTCATATGAGAGATCAGGATATGCATATTTTATTTTTAATATTACCACCTGACCTCTTTCTCCTCTAATATATATACACTTATGGGAAAAAATTTAAGAAAGTGGAAGGTCTTTGATATCGACGGTTTTCTGTTTTTTTTTTTTTTTTTGAAGGAGACATAGGCAATTTTTTCATACTTGGTTATCTCGTGTGTCTTCAATAAAGGTCACTGTAATATCTTTCAGAGTTAATGTCTGAATCCCGATATACATGCTAAAAGATACAACTTCCTTAATTTTTGTCCATGAGTGTATATACACTTGGTTATATCGTGTGTCTTCAATAAAGGTCACTGTAATATCTTTCACAGTTATTGCCCCGATATACATGCTAAACGGTACAACTTCCTTAAGTTTTGTTCATGAGTGTATATACACTTGGTTATCTCGTGTGTCTTCAATAAAGGTCACTGTAATATATTTCAGAGTTATTGTTCCGATATACATGGTAAAAGATACAACTGCCTTAAGTTTTGTTCATGAGTGTATATACACTTGGTTATCTCGTGTGTCTTCAATAAAGGTCACTGTAATATCTTTCACAGTTATTTCCCCGATATACATGCTAAACGGTACATCTTCTTTAAGTTTTGTCCATGAATGTATATACACTTGGTTATCTCGTGTGTCTTCAATAAAGGTCACTGTAATATATTTCAGAGTTATTGTCCCGATATACATGCTAAAAGGTACAACTTCCTTAAGTTTTGTCCATGAATGTATATACACTTGGTTATCTCGTGTGTCTTCAATAAAGGTCACTGTAATTTCTTTCA